CATTTTGGGGGGCTGAGCCCCATTAGCCCCAGCCTTCTGCTACCTATGTTAATATACTTAGATTTTCAAAAATCTTTTGACAAGATCCCTCACCAAAGGCTCCTTTAATCTTGCAGGTTTCCCTGTGCGCGTGTCCACGATTGACTGGCGGGGGGCAAAGGGGGGGTGATGACGGCACACTACTCGCTGCTCACTCCTGATTGGTGGGGAGGCAAAAACCACAGTTTTAAATATGGCACCATTCTTGCCTCTCACCGCTGACTGGCTGAGGGGCCCTAGCAGCCACACTGTCTGTTTCTGACCAGCTGGGATGCACAAACAGCACTATATTTAAAACCAAGGTTTTTTGCCTCCCCGCTAATCAGAAGTGAGGAGTGGCGTGCTCAATGGCTCCTTTTATTTTACAGACTCCCCTGTGCACCCCCCACCCACTGTTTGCTGCTCACTCCTCATCAGTGGGAAGGCAAAAACTGTGGTTTTAAATATAGTGCTGTTTTTGCCTCCTAGCCAGTCAGCAACAGACAGCATGGCTGCCAGGGCCAATCAGCAGTGAGAGGCAAAAATGGTGCCACATTTAAAACTGCTTTTTTTGCCTCCCTGCCGATCAGGAGTAAGCAGCGAGCAGTGGGGCCCCTCTGCCAATCAATGGTGGAGTCACATAGGAGAACCTGCAAGATTAAAGGAGCCACCGTGCACCCCATTCCTGCCATGAATTTGGTCGGCCCCTAGGAAGGCCTTTTGTGTACTGAAAGCTGGTTAAAAGATAGGAAACAAAGGGCGCGTCTACACATTGCCCTATAGTGATGTTGTTACTATGCCATGCTTTAGTACTTTTTGGGAGTACCGTAACACAGAGCAGTAACTGCTCCTGCTGAACCATATATGCAATGCATGGTTATTTTTAGTGGCTACTTTGCCATAGCAGCGTGTTATAAAGGGGGAGAACGCCGCTATGGTAAAGTATCTGCTGGTCATAAGTAGACACCCATGGATGTTACATCACCATAATGCGTTGCTACGGCAATGTAGAATCACACGTAGATGTGCTCAAAAGGTAGGGATAAATGGTCACTTTTCAGATGGAGGAAGGTCAACAGTGTGTTGCCCAAGGATCCAGTTTTGTTCAACATTCTCATCAATGACCTGGAAAAGGGAGTATGTAATGAAATCACAAAATTTGAAGGGTGTGGATGTGTGTGTAGGTGGGTGTGGGGTTTGTGGGGAGGTCTGTGAGTGTGGGTGGGTGTGGGGTTTGTGGGTCAGTATGGGCCGCCTCACTACATGTTCCCTACATGGCGCACAGCCTTTGCTGCCAGCAGCAGCAGCAGCAGCAGCAGGAGGCAGGCCCTTGGGGCACTCCTGGCCTATGGCAGGCAGAGCTCCCCAATGACATGCAGTTCTGGCTGAATCCTGGGAGCTGCACATGGTGGCTTGGAGCCCAGCTGGTTCAGGCTGCTTATGTGTGCCTTTGAACCAGACCAGTCTGGCTCTGTACCAGCATGTGGGGCTCCCAGCATGGCAGGTGGGATCTGCACATCATTGGGACAGACCAACTCCATACCTCCACATGGGGCTTCCAGCACTCCAGTGGGAAGACACACGCAGAGGCATGGAGCCCACCTGGCCTGATGGTGCATGGACTGGGAACCATGGGAAATCGTGTGCCATTGGCCCATGCAAGCTCTGTGCCACTACGTGCAGCTTTCCACTGGAATGCTGGAAGCCCCATGTGGAGGCATGGAGTCGGACCTGATGGCACACAGTTCCTGCCAGCAGTGCCATAATCCCTATGTGCTGGCATGAAGCCAGCTTGGTTTGGGTTGAAGGTGCATGCCAGTGCGCTGGGCCAGGCAGGCTCCATGCCTCTACATGCAGTTCCTGGGATTCAGCTGGTGGACTCTGCCTGCAGTAGGCCAGGAGTGCCCCAAGGGCCCAGCACCCGCTGCTAGTGCTGTGAGGGCTGTGCACTGAGGCAGAGAGGCCCACACCCACCCACATACACCCACAAACCCCACACCCACCCTGTACTCCTGCAGGCAGGAGGTCCCCTCTCCACTCATCGTCTGTCCAGTCATGCATCATTGCACCTGGTGCCTCCACTTGGGGCTCCCAGATGGTGTGTTGGGAGCTGCATTGAGGTGGATGCACAGAGCCCACACGGTCAAATAGCATGTGGCCTCTGAAACCCCACCTCCTGTTGGCTTTGAAAGGGCAGCCATGGTAATTGCTTTTTGGATGGGGCTCTGCAGGCCACACAGAATGGCCTGGCAAGCCAGATATGGCCTGCAGGCCGTATTTTGCCCACCTCTGGTGTATGGGTTTTACTGAATGGAGGAAAAAGGAGAAGAAAGAAGGACAGAAGGCAAATTTTGATGATGTGAAGGAAAGTGGTAGGTTAGAGAGGGAGTACAGGGAGATTATGGAAAGACTGGGCCTTAAGGGACCAATAGGATCAGGGGATCCAGAAAGTAGTGCTCTTTACTGTGCAGAGTTCCCCTGTTTTGGGGAATCCCTGTACCTATTCAATGGTATCTTCCTGGATGGAGGAGCCCCAGCAAGTAGCACACTGCACCAGCAATAATTAATTAAAGTAATATAAAGAAGTATATGAATGGCATCAATATTAAATTTAGGAGATCCCAAGTGCATTAGATTTCAAATTAATGGGGTTATTATACAGCCACAAGAAATGTCTTCAGTAAATGGTCAATACCATTTTTTTTTCTACTGAGTATTTTGAGCTGTGTACATGAAATGAATACATATAAAACTTTTGATCTCTTTTGCTGACATCACAGTTTATGAAAGATCATTATCTTTGAAGATGCATGAACAATAACCATCTTTTCTGCATAGATGCAATACTCCACAGCAATAAAGACAAATAGGGAAGTGTCAGATTTGCCTATTTCTACAAAATGGGGCTATATGCACTGTGAAGCATAACCTTGGAATTCTTTTTTTTTTTTTTTAAACAGCCTCAGGTTGTCATATGGATGAACATCAAGCAGGTATGAGTTGGTGGAAGAGAAATGTGAGACTGATGTTTAATTAAGGTGATGAATGCAGAGTTGGTTTTCATGAAAGCCTACACTGAACAGACAATGCATCTCATCCACTTGAGCAAGATGTAGCTTAAGGAGTGTCAAAAGCTAGATAATTTCAGTTATCCCCTTCAGGTTTCCGGTTCACCTAGCTTGCCTCCTACATTGGGATGTTCCTAGAACAAGTAGTTGGGATTCCTGCCTTAGGGAATAAGGGAATGCCATTTTCCCAGACTTCAAGAGCCAGTGCAGGTGCAACAGAAGGGAACTGTAGCAACTTGTAAAGAGCAATTAAAGAAATACCTGACATAAATGAAACTAGGAGAAGTTGTTTTAATTGTACAAACCACCTCCCACAAAAGATTCTCTCACAGTTATTTTCAGGCTTTTCATTACATGTTCATAGCCACCAGCAAAAACTGGAAGGTATCATTATACTCAGTTACTGCCAGATCATGGCTGCCTGTTCTACACCCGTGACGGAAAGGATTAAGCTACACTAGCTAGATAGATACTGCTTTCCCAGTGGCATTGAGTTGTATTTCCGAGCTTGTGCTCAATTTATAAGAGATGGGTCTCAACCAAAAGTCTGGATCAAAATACCCCTGGAACCTTGTAGAAGTTCAGATTTGAATTCAAGCTAGTCAACTTGAGGCAAATTTGTGAATTGTACTTTATTTCTGTTTTCTTTATATTCTAGTCACTTTCTTATTTCACAGAAAAATGTTAGTTTTTTCAGTTTGGAGAATTACTCCTCTTTCTTTCATAATCTTCCCAAGACATCTCTTGCCCTGGCCTTTCAGTAGGCATTAGATGCTTGTGCAGAGAAGAAGAGAAGCCAAAATTTTGCAGGAGCGAAGTGGGGTCATTCATGTAGAGGGTACATATAAGTATAAAATATGTTCGTTTTCCCCTAAGCAGCTCTTACCATGCCAGCCACACAAATAATTCAACAATAAAGCTCTGTGTTAGAATGTACAGTGACCCACTGGATGAATGCAGGAGTCAGGGCACATCTGCTCGATACAGCATCTTCCTATTTTGAAATGACAGGCCACATAATAATAAAAGCCATATGATTAAACGCTTCTCTGTGCAGTGTTAATTTCTCTTCCATATTGTTTGACCTTCAATGGATGAGGTCATGCAAGTGAATCAACAGAGCAAAAAAACAACATGCACTGCAAGTCCTTTGAAGAGACAAAAACCATTAGCCGTATGCTAGTTTGGCCTGACATCCATAAGGAAGCAAAAATAGTACCGCTGGATGTGTGGCACCTGTAGCACCATCAGACTAAGTACATCTGTGCATCCATTGGTCTGGCCATGTATCAAGGATCCAATAAAATTGATCTTCAGAAGACAGAGTTATTCAGGTGTGAGTTTGATTTCTGTGACTTTTTACACAGGAGAGATTCAGAGGGGCTTACATTAGAGGTGAATCTCAACTGACTTAATCTTGGACTCAGGGTCCAAGATCCCTCATCGCAACTCTTTTGGGGGAAATTTAGAACTTGATCTGAACCTTCCAGATCAAGCCCATTCTCAGTTGAATATTACAGACATACTGGTGGATGAACTGGTTGTTTCTGTGTTGTGCCGCTGAACTTCACATGAACTTCATTTAATTGCTGGACTCTAATGTTCCATCAAGTTACTACATTTGTACTGTTAATAGGTTCTATTACGGTCCAAGTTCATCTTCAGGTCACGGGTCATTGACTGAGGCAGAGTTTGTATTGTGGCCTCTTTTTCATGAAAGGCTTATTAAGCAAAGACACAGACCATCAAACGTTAATGTCATTTGCTTTTAAAGACCCTAATGAGGTCATTAGTTCCAATGGTAATTAAATTGCCAAATGCAGAAATGGAAGTGAAAATTAAAACATAATTGACCTCATCTTTCTTTCAGTTCTGCAAAAATACATTCTGCTTTTCTTTTTGTTTATTTTACAGTGAATATAGTGACGTGGGAAATGAGGTAACCAAACCTGTGATCACCATTGAAATGAGGCCCCTTGCTCAGGAAAACCACTCAAGAAACTAACCAGGCATGGTACATACTGAATACTCTCTTCTTTTTCTTGGAAAGCACAGCAAATCTATGGCACCTGAAACCGGATTACTTTAGTACAGGGATATTAAACACATTGAGTCCCACAGGCCGAATGAGGGATGTGGGGCCACTTTGTGTGCCAGACTGGCTCTGTGTTCCAGATCCGATATACAGGACCAGTCTGACATGGGCATTGCATACAGTCTGCACCCTGGACTGGCCCCACACCACCCTTCGTGTAGTGTGTGCCCCAAAATGGTATCGCATTCCACATGCAGTGCACACCAAACTGGCTGCAAGTGCCACATACAGTGTATGGGGCTGAGAAAGGTATCTGCCACATGCAGCCCATGGGACCAGTCTGAGACCTACAGGCAGTACCCATCATGGGCTGGGTGATAGGGCTCCACAGGCTGTATCTTTGAAACCCCTACTTTGGTAGGTCACGTAAATTATATCCACTTACTGCTTTTCAAGGGTGCAGAATTAGCACTATAAAGCTAAGCCCATTCTTCATATGCAAAATACCAGGAACAAACACTCCATTTGCTTTGGGCTTTAATACATGTTTCTGCATTACAAAACCCAACCCTGCTTCTTCAGAAACTCTGAAAAAAATGAATACTCACAGGAAATAATATTTATTAAAAGTCCAAGTTACATTTTTGGAAGATATGCTTCAAGTTTTGGGGATATTTTTTTCACAAAAAGATAACATTGCTTTTGCCACCAAATGGAAAAATGTTACCTCACAGGAATATATAAATACATACAATTTTTTTCCAGAATAGAATTTTGTCATTTTTGTTGGAAAAAAAATGTTTTCATTTGTTTTGACCAAAAAATGGAAAATTTGTAAGTGAAAAAAGATACAACTAGCCACCCCCCAATATAGTATTTGCATGCAAAACTGCATAAAAAGCCAATTGTAGCTGTTTGATTTCTTCTATCTTTTACTAAACTGATTTTATTACAAAATTAAGTTGTTTTATGGATAATTAATTTTATTCCTCTTAGCAAGATAAAAGCCATGCTTTTTATGTTTCTTATTATAAAGCTACCTCCCCATATTGCATTAGATTAGTCAATCTTGGTTTTGTAGCATAACATATACACAGCTCAAACATAAGCTGCAACATAAACTAAAACTGTCTGTATCTCCAAGATCCAGCACATAAGATTTTACAGAATTTTAGTTATTAAATTCTACTGAAAAACTGAAAACTACTTTGAGAAAACTATGTTGCTCATTCACAGGATTTACATTTGTCGTGTTTTTCAGTTGTCAGTGTAATGACAACAAGACTTCTAACACAAAGTTATACTCTGCTTCACTTGGATCCCAATGTCACATGCCCAAAATACTTAATAACATACTCTGATGCCTCTAGCATACAGGACGCTGGGAGTAAACTTTTTCTCTACTTCACAGATACTTCTACCCTCCAGTCATTTATTCTACAATCATGGGAAAAGACCAGAAAACCATTAATGACTACCTTTATACATCATCAGATAAAAAGAACTGACTGCCATTAGCCAATCAGTTGGGGGTTTTTTTTTGCTAACAAGTTGTGAGTTGCAAAATTACATTTATGTTGTTTTTTCCCCTGGAGGGTATAAAAGGCTCTCATACATTCGGATAAGCCCACTCAAATGTTAATTGATTGCTAACTTTGTTGAAAGATTAGGTGACACACCTTAATACAAACAAACCATATTTTTCATCTTATCAAGATGTATTTCTTCATTTTGAAGTGTGTGTCTAAAGGGAAACATATTTTTTATTATTTATATAATATATCAACTCTCATAACTATTTTTTGGTTTTGGAGAGACAGAAGTATTTTTATTTCATGGCTTACTGACTCAATTCATGCCCACCTAGAGAATTCATAGGCATTATTTCTGTGACAAATTTTATATTGTTAGTTAATTAATTACTTTGATCATTATAAAAGGATGGAGAGATGTACAATACTGTTTGAGGAAATCACCTGGCTCAAAAAAGGGCTTTTAAAAGAAATGTAACAGAACTACTAAATGAGCTGGTGGAGAGTGTGAAGAAATGGTTAAGATCCTTATTAATAAGATCCTATAAGGTCAGAGATCCAATGAACTTCTAATTTTCACCCTTTTCACAAGAACATGACTTGAGTTCATCAGTATCAAGCAATGGCTAAAATCACGTACAACTTAGGCACAAAAGAGGGTAATGGTCCCAGAAACAAAGTTATTACTCAACCTCATGTTAAAAAACTCACACAAATCAACAAGAAGAATAATGAAAAAAGAGCCAACGGGAAGAATAGCAAGCCAGACTGCTGAAAATCAGACAAGAAAGATGCCAATTTGGATACCCAAACTGCACATCTGAAACAGTTTAGAGCATTTCCACATTCTAAGTGAATGCTGTAATCCAGGATGCCTGTGCCACACAACCTTGCACATCTGAATAAGCAACAGCTTGCAATAAATTCAGAACAAGGTCATTTCCAAGAATAAGATATTTTCCCACAGAAACAAGCAGCCATCTTCCAAGAGTTTTAGCATCCCACAGTGCATGGCTGAAGTTAGTAAGCAACTGCCAAAATGGTCACAACAGGAAAAAGCAGCCTTTAAAGAATGATTTCCTTCTTATAGTTATCTGACCTAGATTTGCCTAGAAAAGGCATGTAATGTTTTTCTCTGCTTTAATATTTCATACTTTATTATTTATATTAAAGTCTATAATAGCATGGGACATGAGCATACCATCCAGTTAATATACACATGCAAAAACATGGTTTTGGTTTTACTAATTATTCCTGAATAGCCTACGCAGCTAAGACTGAGTGGGTGCATCTACACATGCAATTAGCATATAGCAATAAACTCCGGGGCAGTTCGCACCAGAGTTGGCTGCTCCTGAGTGCAGCATCTTCACGTGTACCCGGGACTGTAGCATTTAAAGCCAGGGTGGAGCAGCCCTGAGCCAGCAGGGGATCTGGGGGGGTCAACCCTGGGCTCCAGGTGGTGGTAGAAGGGCTGGCTAGGGCACAAGGGTCCTACAGTGCAGAGCTAGGAATCAGGAAGCCTCCACACTGTAGAGCACTTTCATGCCTCAGATAGCCCCACTCAGTCTACACATGTGTTTGAGCATATATAATTGCGCTGCTATAGGAGAGTACTTATCCCAGACAGTACTATCCTATGGTCGAGTTAATTAATTTACTGCGCCCTAATTCAAGTGCATGTGTAGACTGTGATGCTTAACTGTAGAACTAATTAGTCAACTTCACAGTAAAGCACATATGTAGATGTACCCAGTGAAAACCTCATTCTGTCTCATGTATTAACAATAAAATAGTTTACTGAAGGTCCTCACTGCAGTGACAGTGAAGGAAGAGGTGTCACTAAGGAAATCATTTAGTTAGATAACCATTTATTAGCAAAGAAAGAAAAGAGAAAGAAGTAACCTAGTTTATTCCTGTAACCCATGCTGACCCTGCAGAACTAACAAGTGGAAGAGAGAGCTTTTAAAGGGCAAAATGAGCATACCAAGGGAACAGCACTTCTACAAAATTTCTTTTCACAGAGGAAGCCCACTGTAAAAACAGAATACAATAACCCGGGTCTTCAAAGGTCAGTAAAGGGTGTCCCATTCCTATAACGGTTCACATTTACGCATGGTACCTATTGTCAGAGGATCTCAGTAGCTACCATGTGTACTTTTGTATCATGTATACTTTTGTAAAGTACTTTACAAAGACAAAACAATTAGGATTTCTACTGTTTAGTTACAATTCTCCCCATTTTTCATATAGTTAAACTGAGACAAGGAGATTAAGTAATTTGGGCAAGGATACACAGTGAATAAGTGACAAGATTCAGACTAAAGATATCCAAGTTACCTGTTTTGCAGGTTATATCTATGCAGCTCAGTTACTGTGCCTGACTAAGACAGGCCATGGCTGCTAATGCACCTGAATAGCAAGTAACATTGTTGTCTTAGCAAGATGCTGCAGACCTTATTAGTATGTGAACAGTGCTGAATTAAAACAGCTACACTACTTACAGTCCAGTAGGTAGCAAGCACAGTATCTCAGCATGGCTCTTCCGGGTGCGGTAAACGAGTGGAAGAGATACCCACAGCCTCAACATTACCACTCCACTGCTCTCCTCGAAGTAGGATTATGGTAAAAAAAGAAAAAAAGTGAGAGCATCTTGTTTCTTCCAGTATGTTACCAGCAAGCTGTGTTATGCTCTCCACATTTTTATAACAGAGGCATGACTATAGCTATTCACTTATCACTCTGTTATTTCATTTTTTTGGTAAAAATTCACATTCTTGATCACTGACAGTTGAGAAAGATTAAACACCTCCCCTCATGGCATCCTGACACCAAACGGCTTTGATTGTATTATAAAAACATGTCTTACTCTAGGACAGAATGAGTTGCAGCCTGGGGATGGTAGCGATACAGGAGGAGGCACTGGTCCACTCGAAAGACTCTGCCGCCTTTTTGGACATGTTTATAAAAAAACAGCAAGTCTTCTGGGATGCCCTGGAAGAGAGGCATTCGTTCAAACCACAAGAGTTTTTTACACAGGTACAATTTCTTCTTTGGCTCACATTCAAATATTCTCATTGGTTCCACAAGGGACAGGTGGATCAGGATCAATAAAATGAGAGGCAAGCTTTTACTTGTGTCTCAAAATGATCTGAAGTGTGTTAGGAGACAAATGAAATCAGTGCTTCCTACCCTTTAATTTTCATTAATTGGTTTCTGGTTTCAGCTGGATGAGAAACAACAGAGCTGAAGCACTGTGACCAAAGGCTGTTCTCCAGGAATTCCTGAAGCAACAGAATCTAGGAAACCTCAGATCTGTTATGAATGCTCACAAGACTTCTAACCTGATTTGCAGAGCAATGAGTTTGGGATAAGCTGTCTAGATTTATTTCAGGGAATGAATCAGAAGCTTCAACATGGCTAGAAAGAACACTGCAGAACTTATTAAAAAATGTCTGCAGCTAAGATAGGGTATCAAAGAGCCATTACTATGGTCCACTAGTATTCTATTACAAGTCAGCCATACAAAAAGTGATAAATCCACTTTCAGAAACAAGGCGATATAACGTATGTCATTACAGGGGGTGGAAAAGCAGCATCTGTTTATACTTAGCCACTTGAAAAATTAAAGTAAAATATGGTCAACACACATAATTGCCAAGCAATCATATCTCTTAAATATTGTGTGTTTCTCTCCTCCCACCCATTGTTTGTGAAAAGTATTACAAATCTATCATGCAAAGAAAAAATGGTTTAAACAGCCAGGAGTAATCACATGGTATTTGACCGAGGCATCAAGTAAAATATGCAGCAGCAACATAACAGAAATGCAAGCCACAAAATATCGGGGGCAGGGGATGGGAATGTTTATATTAACTATCACAGCGGGCAATGTCATGGACATGGAAACAACCATAAACCTTATTTATTGTATGCATTTAATTTCTATGGGAAAAAAATAATAAAGGTACTACCTAAAATATTACACCTAGTACCACAGCTCCTGTGCTCGAGTTAAGAAAAAATTAATACATAATTTTTAATGAACTTGGACCCAACCCCTCATGTAGGTTTTCACTGCCAGTAGCATGTGTGGAGGGAAAGGTATCTAAGGGAAGAGAAAAATGTGAAATACAGTGCCTTGAAGTAAGAGAAAGAATTAGGATGCAGTAAATATAAGGAGGATTCTTTATGTAGGCAGCTGGATTTGCTCTGTGATTCTTTCCAGCTCTCTAGCTCCCAAATGTACTAATGCAGCTTAATATTTGTTCTTCATTTCACCACACTTAAGTCTAGCTATGACCAGGCCTGGAGTAAGCAGCCATGGAAGAGAACACAGCACAATATAGTATAGGTCCAAAACATGCAATCCAAACCCATCTGGGTTTGGAGGGAACTTAGAAAGAGACATTGTTCCAGACTCTGCAACTCGAGACACTCCCAAAGTGACCGAGCTGGGACATTGAGCCTGCTTCTATCCTAAACTCCAGCTTAACACCTGGAAGATCTCCCCTGTGAGAGTTTCTCTCACACAAATGAATACCTGTATGCTTTTGCATGATGGCTTGAATTGAGCAGCAGTTTCCTTATGCCTTCCCCAGACCAGGGGAACCTGGTCTGGTGAAGGTGGGGGGTGCATTTCCTTGCAGCTGGACTACTTCCAATCACAGAGGTGTTGACTTGCCATTGCCTCTTGAGCCTTCCCAAGACTAGGGGCACTTTGGTCTGGAGATGGTACCGGGCACTGCTTTACGGCTCCCCTCCTCTCCTCTCCCACAGACTGAGAAGGGAGGGGATGAGCAGCCAACTACTGCTTCCTGCCTCTTCCCCTGACTGGGGACTCATGAACGGGGGGGGGG